TCAGCAGGACCCACTGTGTTTGTTCTCCAGAGCAAGGTACAAATCTACTTTTAACTCATCACTCCTGAAGGCATTTAACTTCCTCACATTCTTATTTATCTGTGTTTTAATTCTTCAGACTAATCCAGAAAAGAAAAAAAAAAACAACAAACAACAAACAGTTTTGCTACACACTCCTCTTTTCATTCTCATTTCTCCATTTTATGAATTTTACAAATTTGTTTCATTAAAGAAAATAACTGCTATGATATTTAGGGCTGCGTGGCCATGTCAATGGCACTGGAACCAAGACCTTCAATTTTCCTGCTCCATACTGTACTGTGCAGTATGGGTTAGGAAGCAAATTAATTCAGAAATTTGTCTCATAGCACGCCTTTTGTCAATAAATACTGAATGCAGTGCTAACAAGTACTTATGACATTGCTCCTATTGTTTGACATGGTAATAAATTCTTCACCATGGAGTGACTTTCAGCCTTTTTGAATGTGGTTAGGCAGCAACAATTCAGCACTCTCACTTAAAAGATGGAATTATGCTGTCAGAAATATTATCTCTGTACCAAAAGTTACATGGAAGCACACTGACAGCAATCCTCATTGTTGCTGCTTCTCCCAAAGCAGCCTCGACTTTTGGATCTAGTGACCCACACTTGAGACAACAATAAATAGCCTGCTGTAACTGCCAAAACAAGAAAGAAGCAGTGGTTCTGTGCTATAATGAACCAAGGAACTGTAAACACAGGGGTGTCTGTTCTTGACGGAACAGAAATTTGATGGAAGACTGGGTAGTTTAAAATGACCACCTAAATTTTAAGATTTCCTAAAATACTGCCATAATGATTTTTTTTTTCCCCAGTAGAATCTAACATTACAGGTTTAGCTATCAAATATTAAGTAACAATTGTATGTTTGAGGATGCAGAAGAAACACTCCCCCTATCCAAAGCTCTTTCTGCTCAACACACCTTAGAGTTATACAGAAAAAGAGGGGACACTCCATTTTCACCTTGGGTGGAAGTTCTGCATTGTCAAAAGAAACAGAAATAAGTCTCTGGTACTTGTTGAAATCAGAGGGGTCGCACAGTCCCTCCTCAGACACCGTGCCTGGCAGGAGATGGCTTTCCCCGGTAGGGAAGGTTCCGACACTTGAGTTCAGTTCAGTTTGGGCACTTCATGGTCCTGCTCTTGGTTGAGATGTCAGAAAATCATTCTATTATATGTACTGTGTACACAGGCTTGACCTTTTACTTTTTATGTATATTACACCCAGTACTATTTAAGTGGTTATTTATACAATGCTGTCCTGCCAGAACAAACTTGCTTGTCTACTTTCCAAACAAAAAGATCAGCATGCTAGCATTGCTTCAAACTAATGTTTCTATGAAAAGGCTTTCTTAGGAGAAAGAACTGTGTAAATACCTGGTTTGCCACTTCCCCATTTTGACTAGTGCTCAGAAGAGGTGCTGTGTCTGCCTGCCACCACCTGCTGTAACTCTGCCTTGCAATTACTGATAGCTTCGGTCTTCTTGTGGTTCCCAAAATTGAGGCATGCTAAAGCAATTCGGATTTTTAAGTCATTAGAACTGTCCCAAAATGATCTCTCTTCATATGAGGACAGAAATTTAGGCACTATACTGTATTGGGCAAACCACATTGTCCAAGAAAGCAAAAGAGCTGCTCTGGGCAAAATGAATGCTGTTCACCTTATCTGCAAAAAGTATCAGGCCTTTGAGGGGAAAAAACAGAATGCAGTGCTAGGTCAGGGAAACAAGAAGATGACTGGATCTTCCTAACTCTGTGGAGGAACAAACAGTAAGGACTTTATCTGAGAACAAACTTACTCTGTTTGCTTTTCAGTTCTGTGCTTTACTAGAAATTTCTTTCTGGTCTGAGTGAGGCTGTAGCAGTCAGTGGCCCCAGAAGGGGATGACCAGATTTAAACATCCAACATTTGGCCTCAGCCTACTACAGATCATGTACTGACTGGTCATGAGCTAGGAAACAGCATGATCTCAACAACCTCAGAATGGCTCCTCATACTTGAAAATATGCTCCCATGAATTTTCAGGAATTTAGTGAGAAGCACCAGCTGGAAGACCTTTCTGCCCAGTAGGAGCCATTTTTTACTTCAGCAATATCCTTACTTTAAAATACTTCAGTTTACTTCAGCAACAGAAAGATACTGCCACTGCGATACAAATTAATATATGCCTAATAGAAGTCCTATAAAGAACACAGAGAAAGTAAAGAAAGCATGCAGCTGGAAAACTCCAAAGACCTGTTTTCCTGCTCCCACACTGTATAGGTAACACTTTTAGTGTATGTTTTTTCAGAACATTCACTACAGCAAGGCAGAATTTTGGAGGGTGGCAGAGACGTATTTGTGCACTCTTATGTACCCTAAGGCAGCAGTAATGCAAAAAATAGAAAGAGAAGTAAATGACAAAACAGCACAGAAATAGAGACTGCAGTCACTGTCCCAATCCTTACCTTTCAGAGTTGCCTTCTTAAGTACCTTCATGGCATAAAGCTGACCCGCATCAGATCCTTTGATCTTCCTCACTAGAAATACCTGTAAAAAACAGATGTCTTGTGTAAATGAGTAATGACCTTCCAGTTACAAGCCTTGCTGCATTTGATAGAGGACTCGATAATATCATTCAGGAAATCTAATGAAAATTATTAGCTGAAAGTACTTTGCATCTATTTCATTTGCAATTGGTTGAGCTAGCTCTGGAAATCTTCAGTTTTAAGCCTTTACCACCTCACAAAGAAAATGTGTTCAAAATTATTAATTGTCCTTACACATTCAATTACAGATGGATGAATAGTCAGAATCAGTGTGGGCATATCTCTTCATATTCTGACCATCTTTACATGAAAAAAAGTTATGTCTCATTTGTCCTTAGGAATGTACAGTGTCTTAAAATTATTGCCATCAATTAAATTAAGGAGAAAAAACAGTTTGGTGTAATTTATGCCATACATCATGAATGGTGACTTTCCTAAGATGTAGCTGAAACAAAAAGTTCATACAGCTGAAACTCTGTGCGTACTTAACAAAAAGAAGGACTACTTTGATTAACAAATAGGTTATTATAATAAATATAGTTTTCCCTATTATAATCTCCTATGCTACGTCTTCTGACAGTATAAATTTGTGATTGAAATAAAACAAAATTGTAGCTAAAATTGTATCTTTTTTGTTTTACTCCATACAAGTATTTATCTGTCCCTGAGTGCATCTGAGCACTGGAGGAATAGTTAACAAAGGAATCCATAATTAAGTTTGGTCTTTATAAGAGTTTCAGTGTTTTACTAACTGAAAATAAAATAAGCAAATCTTTTAGATGATTCCCAGGACTCACTCTGTCTGTTTAGGTCAGAAATACCAGGCAACAGTGTCTCTTTTTTTTTTTTTTTTTATTTCAGCACTTGTGTTACTGGACAGAAGCAGAAGTAAAGCCACATGCGGAAATAAATATGAGCCCACATACATAGTACAGACTTAGAAATATATAAGTTAACAAAGGCTAGGTGAAATTATGTAACTAATTAATGTCTAGTTGGATTTCAAATAATCTGTGGAATTATTTTTTTCATTGGCTGTTCAGGAACCATGCAGCTTTGTAAATTGCCTCCACCCAAAATATAAAAAGCCAAAAAAAGAAAGGAGGAAGTCTGTTTCTAGCACATTATTTGCAAGTTGAAAGACTCTTCCTCTTGGAAAAAAAAAATATCTGTAAACAGATTATGATTTTCTCAAACATCCTTTGAGGAAAACCTTGGGGGGAGAGAAAACAACTTTTAATATCCAGCTAGAGAAGCTGAAAACAACAACAACAAAGATTAAATTCTCTCTGAACACCTTAACCAGGTCTCTTACATCTGTACAGCATCACAGCTGCAACACTTCTACAATACAATCTGATACATTTTTGGTGAGACTCTCCTTCTCAAGATGTTTCCTGTGCATATGAGATATGCACAGTTCCTCAGCTGCTCTGCTGTAACTAGCTGAGCTTGGGCGCATATATACCGCTTGTTCCCATCGTCTGTTTCTTAGTTCAGTGAACATACAAATACCTTTGGTGCTCACAACTGTAGGACTAAATAATGAAATCTGGATGCAATATATTTTCTGAAGTGTTTTTCATTAACATTCATGATAAATTAAAATCAGCTGCTCCAGCATTAACAGGAAGTCAATTAATTTAAAAGTTCGGCTAGACAGAAAAATGTTGGGATTTTTTTCTATCCAGCCCAAGTAAAAGATTTAATTTTTGCATTACATTGAAAGGGAGGAGAAATTCCAAAGCAAGATTTCCCAAACACTAGATTTTCAGATGTTTTATTATTCTGTAAAAATAGTTATGGCACAAAAAACCCCGAAAAATCCAAACTGTTAAGATAATGATTTTAAGCTGTACTGCACATAGAACAGCACAGCATGCTGCATCTGTAGAAATATTAGGCTGCAGTTCTAGAAATATCTGCCATGTAATCTTGCAAAGCTTGTAATACCTCTATTCCTGTAATAAGCAAAATTATCAATCTACATTACTAGTCACTAGTCAGCTGTTCCCTGTAGCATGGGATAGGGCACTTGTCTGCATTCCTTCCAAAAAAGATGAGTCAAGAACGCCGTGTGCTGTTTCAGAGAACATCAAAATAATCATCAAACCAAAAAGGAAACAGAACAAATGAAAATGTATTATATTGCAAAATTATGCCATCCTTCTGATTATTCTTAAAGTTACATTGTTCTTGAAACCATCAAGTGGTCCTGAAGTGCTTACTTGCCTGTATATAGCTACACTATACCTGTTTGCCAGAATAGCACAGGCATGTGGCTGAGTATGACTTTGAATTTTCTAGTTTGATAGGCATGGAAAGACCTCAGGTAATTAATACCTGAACTAGCAATAATCCCTTAGCTGGAGCAATGGGTATATCACCCAAATCTCAACCTAGAAAGCTAAGCAAGTGCTGTGACTTTCAAGAGTGTTGAGAGCACACGAAAGGCACCTTCTCTAATCCTGCAAGAAATTATTTAGGCCTCAGGTGAACAACTTGAAAACCAACCAGTTTGCATCCCCAGAGACTTACAGATTTGAACCATTAGCTCAAATACCAAAATGATAAAAATTTAGGTGGTTGGGTACTGCATAAGAAACAGAGCAGACTTTCCTCCCCTGTGGCTTTGCTGCTCTGGTGACCTGTTTCCCATAAGATATGGAAAATTATTTGTAATCACACACAGCTCCAAACAGGTATGACTTCCACACTCACACTCTGATCCCCCAGTGAACTGGGTGGACCATGTCCCAGAAATCAGATCTCCTTTTGGGAAGTGGTAGCAGAATCTAGGTATTTTGCATATAAAATACCTAAAGCTAGAAGGCCAACTTGGACAGTTAATAATGAAATAAATCAGTAAAATCTAAGATAGCCAGTGAACCATTTCTAAACTCTTTACTGCCTGAATCTGAAAACTGGCTATTCTGCCTCTGTGACTTTTCCAAAAAGAGATCTTCACCTCTTGTTCTTCTCCTTGTATTGAGTCATACAGTAAATCTAATTTTGAGTTGTTATATTTTTCACATTTCTTTAATATTTTAAACTCAACTGTCATTACTGTGCTCTCAAGAAATTCTCTAGATCAAAACTTTGTAGTGTGTGCTAACTTTCCTGATATCTTTCATCTCAGGGAACTTCTAACAGACTTGCTTATCAATATAATTCTACAATAGTCAGGAAGTTTACAAATCCTCTCAATATAGCTTCTTTCAAGAATAAAGCTAATGGCCCTGATTCATCATTAGGGTGCCCAACTTTGTGCTCAGTATCTTAGCAACTTTTAAGTATAAGTCAGTTCTTCACCAGAATGATCCACCATTGAATTGAAGGCTTGGAAATATTTTTTTTTAAACTCCCCAAAATAACATACTTAAAATTGTAAGGACTTCCATGTCTGGCTTAAATTAGGCTCACTGTTCCACAGGTTTCAAAGTCTTATTTATTTAAGCCATGGAAAAAGCTTAAGATTTAATTGACTCCTTCCTCTTTCT